TACATCCCAAAAGTACCAGGACAGGAAAGGCATCACAAGCTTTACTACAAATAATGTAGTGCCTATTAAAAGGTAATTTTCATAATAATATATAGTCATTTACAAACTGCCAATTTTGAATTTCAAAACTCCACCCTCCACTATTACTGACAAGACCAACCAAAAGTTAAAAAACAAAAGTTCTGGAGAATTGAAAAGATTGCACACTTTCCTGGAAAAAAATTATCCATCAGACTGGGTCTTAAATAAAATGCAAGAAAAGCAGATTAGAAATGAATTCTTTTAGGTGCTATGATGCTACTTTTTTTTTTAATCCAATATAAGTAATGTATCTTTTTTGAAGCAATTTACAAGATAATTTTAAGGAACAGAACACCAGCCCTAAGGCTCCAGATACAAAATAGCCTTACTACAAATGTGTGTGTGGGGGGGGGGAGAGTGGGTTTCTTGGTGCTTTCTGAGCTTAGTTGTTTTCACTGGTTATTCCTACTACTTCCATATACTAGGACTAGAAGTTAAAAACCATAACAATGCCTAAAACTGTATCCCTATGAAATGGATTAGACTGTTGTCTAAGGCTATATAGTGAACTTTATTACAGAAAAGTACTGTGAACTTTGCCTTCTCCTATTAAAATCTAACACTGCAGAAAATTGGGTCGGATTGAAAAACAACTTTTTAAGATTACTTTGATTTAAAAAGCCAGACAACTTGCACTGGAGAAGTTAAATGCATCTTGCTTCATAATGAAATTTACAATCATTACTGAAACATATTTAACTGAATGAGGATCTAATCAATGGTGTAGTAGTTTCTTCCTTTTGGCTTAAGAATTAGAGAAGCAAGCCATTCTGAGTTCCTACAAAGGGGATGTCAAAAGTTAGTTTTGCCTCATTTACAATGCAGAACAGCACATGGTAGAGATATAAAGCACAATTCAGATTCCTGCCCACATAGAGATAATATATAAAGTTGGGGCTTATATGGCTGGCAGTTATTGCTATTTCAATTACAACACCAAAAAGGAAGTTTAAGTACAGGATAAATGGTATCTGTGTATACAAATATAGGCATCAAAGATCAATTCAGCAAGTGACACCAAGAAAATGCAATTATCTACATAGATTTGCAAGAGCTATGTGTAATTGCGTGTCTCCCAGAGCCAGACTCCTCGCCTTTCAAGAAGTCATTCAACTTTAGCTTCCTATGCAAAAACTGGTTAGCTACTGAAGGAACAAAACCTAAGGAGAAAGTATGCAACCTATGTTGAAATGCTAAACAATAAATCAAGCAGAAACCATGAGAATACCACTTCAAAACGTCTGCACTCCTTTTTGGTTTTTAAATGCACTGATGTAGAGCTTTATATTAAAAAACAAAACTTTGATGACATCAACAAAATAACAAGGAAGAATCCTGAAAGTTTTACTCCAAACCGAAATGGCCAGCTAATATTCTATAAAGTATTGCTTTTAAATATGCATATACAAATAAATATAAAGACAGTTCTATTTGTTAAACTGAGTAGACAGAATTCATGACTAGAGGTGTGATACAGAATAAAAGTTGTAAACCTCCTAGAGTTCCATAAATTAAGATAGCACAGCCCTCATTTTTTTTACAACTATGTATTTCCTGACTATTATAAATAGGAATGTAACCAAGTTGCTTTTTGGATTAAGTTTTACATCTCATCCTGCAGGTAAAAATGCCACATAAAAATCAAAAGGAAATGAGAAGCTTTCATGACACCCACATCAAGATGTAAAAACCCTCTTTGCTACCTAAACAGCATACCATCACTTTAAAATACAGCATTCCAGTAACTTTTCCAGCTGCATTCCTAACAGCATGTTTGAAAACCTACAACTGTGAGCAGAGAAAACAAGTATCTAAGAGCCAGCGAAAGAAGGAAACCTTCCCCCCCCCAATACAGGCGTCAGCAAATGCTAAAAAGTTCTGCTCAATAAAAAGGGAAGATGCCAAAAATCTGTTTTACCTCTATTCATACCCAAAAATTATTATTCTCCTTTGCCTTTAATCTGCTGTTACAAAAACAGGTAAATTCATTACCAGCTCTCCTCCCAAAACCAAAGCTATTTATCATTTTTTCCTGTATGTATGCATGTATGTGTGCATATAGGCGAGTACTGAATTAGTCGAGTATGATTGTGTATGTATACATACATACATATATATATAAAATACATGTATGTATGCATGTATGGGTGCATATAGACAAGTATTGGATTAGAATTGAGTGTGCTTATATGTATACATAATATAGCTCACATGTATGCATTTATGTGTGCATATAGGCAAGTATTGGATTAGTGTGTGATTGTGTGTACATACATACATATAACATGCATGTATGCATGCATATAGGCAAGTATTGGATTAGAGTTGAGTGTGGTTTGTGTATACATAACATACATGTATGTATGCAGGTGTGCGTGCATATAGGCAAGTATTGGATTAGTGTGGTTGGGTGCGCATACATACATACAGCACACATATATGCATGTATGCATGCATATAGGCAAGTATTGGATTAGTGTGCTTGTGTGTATATGTACATATAACACATATATGTATGCATATGCATGTATAGGTGAGTATTGGATTATACTCCAATATACTCCAGTGTGTGTGTGTGTGTGTGCGCGCACCCAGACATACATACCGTGTTTCCCCGAAAAGAAGACCCTATTTTTTTGAACCCTAAAATAAGACTTGGCCTTATTGCCATGCGCTCAAAAGCCCGATTGGGCTTATTATCAGGGGATGTCTTATTTTGGGGGAAACAGGGGATTCACACATCTACATATGTGTGTGTGTATAGGGGAACACTGAATTAATGTGTATGTGCATGTGTGTGTGTAGACACACACACACACAATCTACCTGCCCCCAACTCCAATCCAATCCTCTCCCCCTTACCTGGACTTTCAACTCAACACAGCCCAGCCTAAGCAAGGCAACCTTCAAGCCCCAAGGAGAACGAGGCCTCCTTTTTCCTTCCAGCTGGGAAACGAGCCCACTCCCCCACTAAAGACAAAGGGCAGCCCACCCATTTTCCCTGGAGAGGAAAATCCTCCCCGCCACCCGCAAGGCCTCAAACCCCAACCCCACACGCAGCCAGCCAGTCCTGGAAGGAAGACGCCCCTGGCCCTGCCCCAAACGCCCCGGGCGAAGAAGGTGGGAAAGGAGCGGTGGAGAGAGCGAGCCAGGCCGCCCGACTGGAGCCTGCAGGGAAGCCTCTCCACGAGGCCGGAGCCTCAGCCTCCAGCGGGGCCTTCGCCCGCCGTCCCCGTCCCCCCATGACCGCCATGCGGCCGCCGAGCAGGCCCGCCTCGCCCTGGCCCTGCAGCGAACGAACGGCCGCCCCAGTGAAAGCGCTCCGTGGGGAAGGGGAGGCCCAGCACCACAGAGCCCATCATCCCCCGGCTCCCTTTCCCGCCCGAGAGCGTCGCCGGGCCTCGGAAGGCGCCCGCCAGGCTGCAGGCGCGGGTGAGGCCCGGCCCAACAGCGTGTTCCCGCCCCGGCGGGAGGGCCCTCGGCGGTTTTACCTGAGCGCCGTGGACCGCCATGGCGCCTCGGCCCCTCGCTGAGGGAGAAGGCGGCTGTGGCGGCGGGGCTCAGCCGTCTCCCTCAGCGCCTCACGCGGCGGGCGCCGCCGCCGCCGCCATCTTCTCGCTCGTTCGCTCGCTGCTGGCAAAGGCGTACGGCCGCCACCACACACGGCGGGCGGGCGGGCAGGGGAGGGGCGGCCGCGGCGCCTGCGCACTAGCGGCCCGCGCGCTCGCGGCACGCGCTTTGCGCTCCCACAGGCGGGCTCGCCGGCTCGGGGTGAGCCACTCCCCCCCCTCGCCCCGTCGCTCTGCGCATGAGCCTTCCAAACAGATGAGGCCGAGCAAAGAGGCCAACTGCTGGCTGCGCAGGCGCGCGGTGAAGCGTCGGGGCGGTACGGTTTGAAAGTGGGGGGAGGGAGAGTGTGAGGCGACTTGCGCAAGCGCGGTTCGCCTCCGGAGGCGTTTCCTAGCGTCGGTCATGGATCGGTGAGGGGCCCCGGTTTGGGCATCGTGGTGGGAGTTCTTATCTCACGATACCCTGGCCGGAGAGTTGATTTTATTCGTTACGGAAATGAACGTGCGAACGAATGCGAGGGAAAGGATTGGCAGGCATCTCCTCAAGGTGGTGGGGAACGGTTGTCCCTACACGCGAGAGGGATGGGACGACGGAGACATGCTTGCGCACGCGCATTTCGGCCATCGCGAGGGGAGAGAGCCGTCTGCGCATGAGCGCTTATTTGAATACATTTTTGTGCTTGATCCGGAGTGGTGAGAGGGGTGTGGCTCCTTGCGCAGGCGCGACGGGGAGATTGATTGGCATTGCGCAGGCGCCGGGCTTTACCCAGAGCACGTGTTGGATGGAGTGATTCCAGGGAAAAGGGTGTTGTCGGAATAGGCCGCCTGAATCCAGAGGCTCGCTACCTTTTTTTTTTTTTTTTTTTTTTGCTAAAACCAACTTTTAGGGTTGAAATGAGGGGTGGTCGTTGGTGCAAACTTTGGTTGTTTTCTTGCAGACATTTCATGACCCAACTGGGTAACATCATCAGTGCTAGTAAGGAGTGAGGTTTGCTTTGGAATTATTTAAATTTCCTACGACATGGCATTACTTTCCTGCAATATTTTATCTCTGGCTTTTCTCTCTACGGCAGGGGAAAATTGCAGTCCCGTTTTGGGACAGCTGAAGAAAACAGGTACTTGGATGTAATCCAGCTGGACCCTTCATATGAAGCCTGGACAATCTTACTCACTTTTACAAAATTACACTTTACATAATTCTTCACTCCCTCCTTTTCAGAACCCTGGTGATGGAAAGCAGCATCCCTGGCCGATCAGCGTGGAACAAAGCCAACTCCTCTTTGGAAACAGTTTATTGTTTGAAATCCAAATTTGGGATTGAACACATAAAAAAATCTGGAGGAAAGAAGATTACATCATTCCAACTTATTATTTATTGAGCAAACCTTGTAAAAATGATCAGCTCCGTTTACAGGAAAGAATAATGTTTCTATACAAATTAGCTCTCAAAGATTGTTGTTTCCCCAATGTTTTTATTTCTAGAGACTACATTGACAGGTTCCTGCAGTTTTTTAGGCAATATTTTCAAAAGTGGCCTTTATCTCCCTTAGGCAGAGAGAGAAGGACTGGCCAAAGTCACCCAACTGCTTTGTGTCTAAGGCAAGACCAAGATTTTTCCGCTGCTCCTCGTTCAGCGCCTTAACCCTTCAAATAAAACCGCTTGTAAGTGTCCAGCTAAGTATTACCTGAACAGGTTATTATTATTCTACTAATAAAGGCTTTCCCAAATTCATGAGAAACGTGCGGTGCCTGGAACAGAGGGATAATCTTACACCCAATCATTTAAACTACATCCAAGTGTTGATACAATCTTCAGGCCAAAGCACAACATGCATGTCATTACAGGTAGGAGGGAAAAATAAACCAGATGTTTCAGGAACCTCTTAGCTGCTGAAAGCAGGATATTTCAATGAAGTACACCAGAACAGTTTCAGAAATCTCAATTCAGTCATAAAGGACAGCTGAAAGTTACTGCAGCTGACTGCTGGCTGCCTGCAATTTGGCAGTTCGAAACTCACCAGGCTCAAAGTTGACTCGGCCTTCAATCCTCCCAAGGTGGATAAAATGAGGAGCCAAATTGTTGGGAGCAAGAGGCTGACTCTAAACCGCTTAGGGCTGTAAAGCACTGTGAAGCGGCATATAAGTCTAAGTGCTATTGTTGGGAAGGAAGGAAGGAAGAAAATGAGGAAAAGGAAAGAAGGAAGCCGTGGTGGCGCAGTGGTTAGAAGGCAGTACTGCAGGCTACTTCTGCTGACTGTCGGCTGCCTGCAATTTGGCAGTTCAAATCCCACCAGGCTCAAGGTTGACTCAGCCTTCCATCTTTCTGGGGTGGCTAAAATGAGGAGCCAGATTGTTGGGGGCAAAAGACTGACTCTAAACTGCTTAGAGAGGGCTATAAAAGCACTGTGAAGCGGCATATAAGTCTAAGGGCTGTTGCTATCTCATTCTCACTTCTCTGCTTTGGTCAATTTTCCCAAAGTAGGATTTTAATACAGGAAGTGAGTTTTGATGGACAGGCTTTTATTGACACGATTCTACCTTCTAAGAAACCCTGCTCGGCTTCCTCTGAAGATCCCTGACATTCATCTTCCCATTTGTAGACGCTCTCATGATTTCTTCTCACAGACTTTGTGCCCTAATGCTGAGGTTACTCCAAAAACAAGTAACGTTTGCTCACCACTCCAAGAAGCAAAGATGGACAACGGAGGAAGTTCTGTAGCCCAAGTCAAGAAGAATAGTTCTGAAGTTTCCAAAACCAATTCTCTGTACAGGTTGTCCTCAACTTACGACAGTGCATTAAGCAACCGTTCCAACGTTCAGATGGGGCTGAAAAAAGTGACTCGCAACCAGTTCTCACACAACCATTGCGGCATCCTCATGATCAAAATTCAGGCACTTGGGGGGGGGAATATATATTTAGAAAGGTTGCAGCATCCAAGGATCACATGATCATCATTTACAACCTTCCCAGCCAGCTTCTGACAAAAGTCAATAGGGGAAACTGGATTCGCTTAACCACCATAGTGTTTCACTCAACCACCATAGAAAGAAAGGATGTAGAATCAGTGCAATTCCGCTTTAAGAACTGCCTCGTTGAGTGATGGAAGTTCCAGTTCCAATTGTGGTTTTAAGTATAAGGGCTGCCTGTATCAGGATAAGGACAGGTTTCGATCCAAGCGCAATACCTCATCTCCCTCGATCCTCGTGGCGTTGCGGCTTGGCCTTTTTCTTTTTGTCGTGCGACCTGGGCCTCAAGACACAGACGCAGGCCGACACGCCGGCGATGGCTTTGGGAAGGTCGCTCCCTTTTTGCCATTGCTTTGTCGTTTTGTCGTATACCTGAACGTCCCTGGAGAAGACCGTGTTCTCCCAACTGTAGCCGCCCAGGATGTAGATCTTGCCGTCCCAGGTGGCCACGCCGGACTCGCTGTTGGCCTGGAGCAAAGGCGCCACTCTCGTCCACTGATTGCATTTGGGGCTGTAGGATTCCACCTCCAGGATGTCAAAGCGTGTCATGGTCTCCAAGTGGTCGTCGCTGCCCCCGATGGAATAGATGTCATCCTGCAAAGTAGACATGCTGTGCCAGCCACGGGCAGTGATCATGGGCCTCCTCTCCTCCCAGGTATCCATCCGATAATCATAGCACAGCAGGTTTTTGCGATAGGGACCGATCTGGTAATCGTGGCCTCCCGAAATGTAGACGAGTTCCTCATGGACGGCACCCGCGTGGCCGTACGTGAACCTGCGGCAGAAGGAAAAACGAAACAAGACTTTTAAGCGGCCCTTTTAGCAGGCGGAGAGGATGCTTTCAAAAGCCTGTTCAAGATTTAACTGTTTATTCTGGTATTAACAGAGCATGCCTGGCTGTGTTGAGTTACTCACATCTGTGAATGAAATCCTAAAAAGGTAGAGATAAGCAGAGCATAGAGTCAAAACACCCATTCAAATAGACAAGAATAAAGGTTAGCTGTTGTCTAAAAAGGGGCATGGGGTTTATTTATTTTTGGGATGTGTTTGCTCTTTTGTAACTCTGTTCATTTTTTTTATAATTTTAGAATTGTAAGCCAGTCAGAGTCCCTTGGTAGAAATTCATGCTTACGTTATACACTTTTTATTAGTTTATAATATGGCATACAAAGAGAATAGAATAGTAAATAGTAGGGAAGGGAAAAGGGAAATGGACAGTGGGGGAAAGGAAGGGAGAAAAAAAAACATTGATTTCCAACTCAAGTTTGGTGCAGTAGAATAAGGCATTATCATCTGACCTCAACTTTTTACTTTTACATAATAGTATAAACTAGCCATTTCTATAACAACAAATCTATCTAACTGGTAAAACCCAAAATCAAGGTTTCATTTTTTCCCTCACCTCAAGCACAAAATCTAGAAGCGGGTTTCCAAATAGAAATAAAGGTATTTGTATTTTTTTTCTTTAATCAAAACAGAAACAGATAGAAATTGAATAAATAAACACAAATGAGTCTACTCAGCTAGGAAATTGGATTTTACTCAACATATTGTCAAGCCCAATGGTTGCCCTCTTTAATTGCAAGACTTATATATTTATATCCCGCTTTTAATGGATTTACAAATAACTCAAGGCAGCAAAACACACTTTTTCCTCCTATTTTCAACAACCACGACCCACTGAAGTCGGTTGGGCTGAGAGAGGACGGCAAGGTGGACGCTGGCCTAAGGTCAACCAGCTGACTTTCATGGCTAAAATGGGGCTTGGGATTTTTGAATTTTGCCTTACAGTAGCTCTCTGGATCCAAGAACAAAGAAAGATCCTTCCCTGATTCAGTGTGCAAATCCATGCAATCCACACTATGTGCCCCACACTGAATTATTTTGGACCCCCTGGGCACAAGCTTTGGTTGCCCAAGTGCCTTTGGTGATAGATCAGTCGTGATATATAGGTAAACAACTGGTAATCTTAAGAGCTGGCAGCAACCTCTGGCCTAGTTTCAAGACTGTTTTGCAAGAAAATACCTCTGGGTTGCTTCATGTTAATGCCTCAGGGAGGGAGGGAGGGCCGGGATAGAGAATTAAAAATCCAAGAGCAGAAAGAGGGGAAAAAATGTGTGTAGGAAAAGAGGGGTTTCTGATGCTACCAGGTTTTCCCTGATCTTCTCTCCAGCGGCCTCCTTAATCTGCTACTTTCCAGATGAGTCACAACTATAATCACCTGAATTAACAAGAGTTGGAAGGGACCTTGGAGGTCTTCTAGTCCAACCCCCTATTTAAGTATGGACCCCTATGCCATGCCGGATAAGTGGCTGACTCTTTCCAGAATGTCTACCACTTTTTTATAATATGGTGACCAAAATTGGATGCAGTGTAGTCTTACTAAGGCTTTATAAAGCAGTGCTAATACTTCACGTGATCTTGATTCTCTCCCTCTGTAAATGCAACCTAGGATTGCGTTGGCTTTTTTGGCTGCCGCCGCACAATGTTGGCTCGGATTTATGTGATCGTCCACTAGAACTCCAAGATCCTTCTCAGAGTTACTGCTATCGAGCCAGGTTTCATCTAATCTAAATTTAGCTTAGATGTCACCCAATCTAAATTTACGTTTCGTGTAAACGTAAATTTAACGTTCCAAGTGACAGTTTCAAACGTAGACCATTTGTAACCAAGTCGATTTGTAGGTGAGATGGGCACCACAGGAAAGAACGAAGACGGAAAGGAAAGAAAGAAAGAAAGAAAGAAAGAAAGAAAGAAAGAAAGAAAGAAAGAAAGAAAGAAAGAAAGAAAATACCAAAGGAAGGAAGGAAACTGGAAGGAAGAGAGAAAGAAAATACAGAAGGAAGGAAGGAAAGAAAGAAAAAGGAAGAGACAGAGAAGAGAAAGAAAATACAGGTGGAAGAAAGGAAAGGAAGAAAGAAAAAAAGAGAAAGAAATAAAGATTTATCATCATCTGCTCCGTTTCACCTGGGCAAGCCGGCAACGTAGGACCAGGTGTCCTTCTCGGGGCTGTAGGTCTCAACCGATGACAGGGCTCCATTTTCATTCCTGCCACCCACAGCCACCAGCATGTCTCTGATGGCCCCGAGATAAAAGTCCACTCGCTGTTGCCTCATCGAGGCGAGCTGAGAACGGGAGAGAAAAGCCAAAGGGAAAAAAAAATGTGCCAAGGGTCATCCGTCACAGAAACCAACAATTAAAAACAGTATATTTGTCACAACTTAAAAGCAGGGGAGGAGGACTGGCAAAAAGCAAATGCAAGCTATGAGACCTTTCGCCTGGGTCCTATTTATACACACACACACACACACATACACACACATTTGCTTGGACCCTGATAGGTTGCTGCAACCAGATATTTGTGCTTTGTTTTGTTTTTTAAAAAAGACCGTTTCTCCAGATCCACAAAAACCATATGGATATAGCAGGGGTCAGCAACCCGTGGCTCTGGAGCCGCATGTGGCTCTTTCATCCCTCTGCTGCGGCTCCCTGTTGCTGGTCGGCTCCACAATTGATAGGACTTTCGGTTAAGACAGGTAGAAGAAAAAAGATGCCACCCTAGGAGACTATGGTGAGGGAACCGGACTTCTGGTCAGCAGAGGAAAAAGGATGCCATGCTAGGAGGAGACTATGATGGGGGAACCAGAATTGAATGGGGGCTTCCGGTTAGGACCTTTGTGGCTCTTCGAGTGTTTAAGGTTGCCGACCCCTGGGATAGACAAACTGGGAACGCAGCGAAAACGAGCCCTATATTTATCACTCTTCTTTGGAAACATTAAAAGTCTCTCCTTGACTTGGATTTTCCCAGAATTCCAAGAGTTGTAGCCCAGGGCATTCTGGGAGCCCAACCTCACAGTTAAGAGAGAACACCAATTTTTATTATTTGGGGTGGCAGAAATCTTGTCCCCTTTGCAGATAGTCTTTGACTTACAACCATTCGTTTAGTGACCGTTAAAAAGTTCCAGCGGCACTGGAAAAAGCGACATGGCTGTTTTTCACACGACCGTTGGCAGCATCCCCATGGTCACGTGATCAGAATTCACACACTTGGCAACCGACTCGTATTTATGACGGTCGCAGAGTCCTTGGGTAACGCGATCCCCTTTGGCAGCCTCTGACAAAGCAAAATCAATGGGGAATTTATCTAACAACATGCTACTAAAAGGCCATAATTGGGGCAAAACTCACTTAACTTTCTTAGCCATGGAAATTTTGGGCTCAGTTGTGGTCATAAGTCGAGGACTTTCTGTATCTCCAAACACACAGAAAGAAAAAAAAAACATCTACCAGAGCTTGAGCCTCACCTTTATCCACTGTTTACACCGAGGATCATACCTATAGAGAAGATTCGAGGCCGCATCCCCACCGTTGTCGCGGGAAAAGCTGCCACCAGCGAGGAAGATAAAGCCTCCAAGAACTGCAACGCAGTGGTGGCTCCGTCTGGCGGGCAGCGGCGTCTCCTTCACCCACTGTCCCGTTTTGGGGTCCAGGAAGCAGGTATCGTCACTCAGCTCCAAGCAATGCTCGGACACTTCTCCTCCGACAAAGAGGAGCTTCTCTTCCTGGGTCCGGAGAACCGTCCTGTTGTTCTGCAGGACAGGCTGAGCAGCCACCTGATTGTGGTAATTGACCGCCTCTTCGATAAAGTCTTCACAGCGGGTTTCTTTGGGAAGGAGGGAGCAGACAGCCGGCTTGACCCGGTGCAAGAGATCGCTCTTTGGGATCAGAGGGAAATGGATGTTCTCCAAGACTCGGTAGGCCTCCGTTTCCCGCTCAGGGTGCTGCATCAGCCACCGCAGAGCCGCCTGCAGCAAGTCGTGTTCACACTCCTCTTGCACGCCCGTACTGCCCAGGTAGTGGCAGAGTTTCTCGACGGGAAGGTTTTGCAGGAAGTCCGGCGTGAGCGAGAGGGTGCCGAAGTTCTTCATGACGAACGCGTCGATAAAGGAGTCCAGGCGCTTGAGGTTGAAGATGGAAGCCAGTTCCTGGAGGTACAAGTAGTTCTCTTCGTCGACCTCATTTTCCAAGAACTCGCAACAGAAATCCACCACCTTCCAGATTTGCAGCAGGTGAGCCGTTTCCAAGATAGAATCGATATTTCCGCTGTTGAGGAACAGGTCGCAGCCGTAGAGGAAGTCCAGGATGGCTTTGAGGCCAAGGCAAGTGGCGCCAAAGAGCTCCACTTCTTTCTGATAAGCTTCTCGCATGCCGATCGTGAACATGGTGTGGAAATAGTCACTGCAGACAGCTAGAACGTTCCGGTGAGCGGGGACTTTCTGCTCCTCCACCACTAAAACCACATCGCAGAAGAGGTTGCGACGTCTCTGTTCGTTCAGGCTCTGGAGAACGAGGCTGGGGTGGTCAGCACATTTGTACACCTGAAAGGAGGAGAGATTGGATGAGGAAATACGTCCTGCAAATTAGGGGCGATTCATACTGCAGCTCATAAGTTTGCATGGTGGGTCAAAAAAGGTCAACCTATTTTCCAAAGGCTCCGAAGGAGCAACGGATGGAAACTAACCAAGGAGAGATCCAGAACCTAGAAATAAGGAGAATTTTCCTGACAGTGAGAACAAATAACCAGTGAAACAACTTGCCTCCAGAAGTTGTGGATGCTCCAACACCGGAGGTTTTAAAGAACCACCTATTTGAAATGGTAAAGGTCTCCTGCTTGAGCAGAGGGTTGGAGTCAGTGGTGGGCAGTGGTGGGATTCAGCCAGTTCGCACCACTTCAGGAGAACCGGTTGTTAACTTTCTGAGCAGTTTGGCAAATTGGTTGTTGGAAGAAATCATTAGGGCAGACAACCGGTTGTTAAATCACTTGAAGCCCACCACTGGTGGTGGGTTTCAAATTTTTTTACTACCGGTTCTGTGAGTGTGGCTTGGTGGGCGTGGCATGGCTTGATGGGCGTGGCAGGGGAAGGATACTGTAAAATCTCCATTCCCTCCCCCGTCCAGGGGAAGGTTACTGCAAAATCCCCATTTCCTCTCAAACAGCTGGGACTTGAGAGGCAGAGAATAGATGGGGGTGGGGCCAGTCAGCATTTTTATTACCGGTTCTCCGAACTACTCAAAATTTCCGCTACCAGTTCTCCAGAACTGGTCAGAACCTGCTGAAACCCACCTCAGGTTGGCGTAGAAGACCTCCAAGTTCCCTTCCAACTCTAGATATTCTAATATCCAGATATTCAAAGACAGAAGTGTGAGACAAGCACTCGGAGAAAAGAAAGCAAGATGCTGAGGGATCTGGCTTGAATAAAGAACAGGTTATCATTTCTAGATCTTGCTGCACTTCAAGATCTAGAAACGGCCAACCGATGCTTATTAGCAGGAACAATGATCTCCTTGGAAACGTTTGATTCCAAAAGAGGCTGACCTTAAGTTTTGCAACGTACGGGTTAGTCCTTGACTTATGACCACTTCAGGTGGTTAAGTGAATCTCACCTGATTTCACATCCTTTTTTTGTCACAGTCATTAAATGAACCACCACATTAATTAGGTGAATGACTGGTCATCAAGCAAATCCAGCTTTCTCAATACGTTTTTGTGCCACAAAGATGTTATATTAGTTTATCAGAATATAAAATACAAAGAAAATAAAAATAATGGGAAACTAAGGAAGGGAAAAAGAAAAGGTGTGGGGCAGAAAGGCTTGGACTTCCAACTCTCTTTGACCCAGTAGAAGATAACAACACTACATCCTCAACTTAATTTTTACACAATAATCTATACTAGCTTTTTACTTTTACACAATATATACTTATGTATGTATGTATATATGTATATATTGTGTAAAAGTAAAAAGCTAGTACATATTGTGTAAAAGTTTCTTAAAAAGTAAAAAGAATAAATATTCTACTTTTTTAAAAAGACTTTTTGAGAAACTTACACAATGTGTGTGTGTGTGTATATACACACACACACACACACATATATATATATATATACACACACACACACACATATATATATATACACACACACACACACACACACACATATATATATATATATATATTTAGCATTTTGAAAATCTTACGTAGGAAAATACACGGCTGAGGAGAAATACACATAAAGGGCCTACGATAAGAGAAGAAATATATATATATATATATATACACAGTATGTCACAGAAGTGAGTACGCCCCCTCACATTTTGTAAATATTTAAGTATATCTTTTCATGTGACAACACTGAAGAAATGACACTTGGCTACAATGTCAAGTAGTGAGTATACAGCTTGTATAACAGTGTAAATGTGCTGTCCCCTCAAAATAACACAACGCGCAGCCATTAATGTCTAAACTGGTGGCAACTTTTTAATTAACTTACTTTTTAATATATACAATCTTTTTACTTTTTAAAAAACCTTTACACAATCATATGTACTAGCTTTTTACTTTTACTATAAAACTATATATATTGAGAGAGTATTTACTTTTAAAAAAACTTTTACGCAAAGATATATACTAGCCATAAAAACTATATGAATGCATTACCACCCGGGGCAAAGCAGCAAAGCAAGGGGCAGAAAGAGAGACCGATTAAGGGAATAAAAACCCTTAAAATGCCATGATCTTCCCCAACCTGGTGCTCTCAAAACACACTGAGACTGGGACCCCCCGAGAAAAGGCGATAAAGGAAATAAAAGTAACCAGACCTTTGAAGATTGGCTGATCTTGGGCGGTCGAGAAAATCTGACTTGCCTGGGGCTCTCCATCAAGGCAGTGTCTTGCGATTCTGGGGAGGGTTGAAAAAACAAAATCAGGTGAATGGAAAACAGTCTCAGACTTGCAAAGACCCCAAATTCTTAGCTAAAAGAAACAAGCAAGTTTTAGCCATTGGCCAGTGGGCACCAGCCAGCGGAGCTCCTTGTGGTTTTACTTCTGAGTAGATCCACAGAAAATCGCCCTGCAAGCCTTGTTTTGAACAGGGGGAGGATGTCTACTCAACCAGGGGATTTATTCTCTCCGTTACCAAGGGTTGGTATCTTAAATCTGAACCCAAAGGGTAAGAAATTTGGTTGCTGGTAGGCAGCGAAGAAGGAAAAACTGCCAAAAAGCAATTTTTGTTTTTCATTTGAAAGTGTTTCTTGGACGCTGGAGGGAAATCAAGAAATGATGAGGAATGGCAAACTTGCTAGGAGCACGTGATTTAAGCATGCTTTGCTAAACAAGCTAGTGTACCATGGTGTGTGTTTGCGTGTGCGTTTGTTGTGTGTTTGTTGTCTGTCTTGGAGACAGTGCTGACTCTTCAACAACTGCCTGGATCCAGCCCTGTGCTTTTTTTTTTTTTTTTAATTATTTTTAAACATAAAACAACCATCATCCATTACAATTACAGAAAGTGTGTCGATCGGTTACAATTCTTTTGTGCTTAATCCCATATCCAAAATTTACAGGTTATTTAATTTCTCTTATTTAACAATTCATTCTATCCCTTTGTGCTATTATTCTCATATAACAATCATTTAACAATGGCTTGTCTCCCATAAAAAAAATCGCTTCATATATTTTATCATTACATTTATTTCATGTTTCATACTTCATTTCCATGCTTTATTGTCTAGCCATTGATAAAATAAATCCCGTATCATATAATTTATTTATTTTATTTTATTTTATTTATATGCCGCCCTATCTCCGCAGGACTCGGGGCGGCTCACAACAATAAAACATCCGAATAAAAACGTATTAAAATACATGTTAACCCCCCCCCCCCCAGTCCAGGCTGAACAATATTGTTTATCTTCCTGTTCTCTAATTTCAAATGTCGGTTTACTCATTTCAGCACATTCCATCACTTTCTTAAGCCCTTTTCTTGACAAGAGCCTTGGTAGTACAGGGGTTTAAGGTACCCTGTTATTAAGCTTATTAAGACCAACTGCCTGCAATTACTGCAGGGTTCGAATCTCGCCAAGGCTCAAGGTTGACTCAGCCTTCCATCCTTTCTAAGGTAGGTAAATTGAGGACCCAGTTTGTGGGGGCAATAAGCTGACTTTGTATAAATATACAAAAAGGATGAAGGCTATTGCTGAGCACATTGTAAGCCGCCCTGAGTCTTCGGAGAAGGGCGGCATATAAATCAAATTTAAAAAAAAAAAAAAAGATTTCTGCCTGCTATGCCATTGCCTTCTTCCTAGGGCCAAGTTAGAGTGACTGGCCCGAGATCACCCAGAAGGCTTTGTGCCTAAGGCAGGACTAGAACTCCCAATCTCCCACTTTCTAGCCCTGGTGCCTTCACCGCTGCACGAAACAGCCTCTCTGCTACGCGAGAATCCATAAACCATGGTTTGCAGACTGCAGCAAGCAAACCATAGTTTGGTCTATGCCGGGGTCCAAAGGCGGGGTCCAGACCTCAGCTTCTGCTGCCTGGGTGCCCCCCCCCCAAAAAAAAGCCCCAGCCAAGGAGGAACCTGCGGCGAAGAAGAGCCAGCAATGAGGACCGCGGGAGTTTCCCATCATGCCTCAGCGCCAGCATCCCTGGACTTCGCGGCCAGCCGGAGATGCTGCTGCCGCTGCCGCTGCTCTTCTTACCTCTCTCCCCGCGGGCTACCCTGGTTCCCCTCCGCTCCTTCGGCAGCCCAGGCTCTCAACCAGGAACTGGCAGGCCGGAGTGGCAGCGGAGGTAGCCAATGAGAGCAAAAAAGGGGCCTGGCTGGCTAAACGAGGGAGGTGGGACTTGTCCGGGCTCCGCTGCGGTGCAAAGGAGAAGCGACGAGGGTTGGATTTTTTTTTTTTTTTTTTTTTGCAAGGGTTTGAGTGGCAGGGGCTTCCCGTGCGCCCCCTCCTCGCTATTAACATTCCTCTCAGGCGGCTGGGAAGGGGAAGAAGCGCCCCCCCTCCAAGGACCGCCTCTGTTTGCTGCCCTGACAAAGAAGGGAGTTTGGGGTGGGGGGGAAAGACTGGAGAAAAACTCGCTTCGGGGGTCTGGAGAAGTTTCCCACCCGACCTCGGATGTTGTTCCTCCGTTGCAACTAAATTGCAGGTTCCGTAAAACGCCAGATTTGCAACATCGATGCTTTTTGATGCTCCAGAGTTGTGCCTCGGCTTCCATTAGAAGTTAAATCAAACAAAGACAAAGTTTTGGGTTTGTTTTACGGTTCTGAACCGGCCCAGCCCAAAACTCAGGACAGTCCAGTGGATAGATGGATTTGACATCCATTGGACCAAGCACTTCTTGATTAGGACAGCCAGGGTTATACCGAGATTGTGGACTACAAGACCAGGTTTTTTTAAAAAAAAAAAAAAAGAGGGGGGATCCTGTGAAGAATGAAAGGACAAACACTTCTATTTTCTTGCTGGGAAAACTGCACCGTTGTATCAGTTGTTTTTACTTTTTAAAAGATTTTCCTGGACTTCTAGGCCTACCCCCTTTCTGAATCCTCCAGCCCTAAAACTTCTGCAAAATTTAAAGACAGCAATACCGTATTTTCGAAATGCCAGACAGAGACAGGATCTGTTTCCCGATCTTTGCGATTACCCAAGTAATCAAACTTGACTCTTTTAATTTATTAAACCGCAGCCTCGGGGTGTTTGAGGAGATTTCTGTCCTCCAGCCTCCATTTGCTTTTGTTACTTTTTAACACACCCAAAAACATATTTTTTTTCCAGGCCAGCAGAGGGAGATAACTGCACCTGAAATAGATCTGAAAGAATTCAATTTCCACATTCAAAGGATAATTGCCCCAGGGAGAGTGTCTAATTCAAGCGATAACTGAAGTCTGCCCTAGTTCTTAGACCAGAGGTTTGCAAGGATGAGTGGGAAGAAAAAAAAATGAAAGAAAAAAATCTATGAATTGTATGCTCAAGTGTTTCTTCTTAAACCGAAAGACTGACTTCTCATTGTCAAGACCCCCAAATCTCACAGGACTTCCAAGATTTGGTGATTTTGGAATCATTTATTTATTTTTCTGTTCTCATTTGCAGTGTTGTCTAAGTGATTGCTTGGAAGTACACAAGGAAAAACCTTCCAAAGACTCTGGATTCCCACGGCATACTAAGATGTATCACACTCCTTGATTTAATCTTTCATCCAACCCAACTGTCAAAAACCCTAAGGTGCTTTTTTCAAGAGGCAACTGGACTTTCTGGTTTTTCTTTGAAGAGGTCTCACTTCTCATCCAAGAAGCTTCTTCAGCTTCTTTTTTCACAGGTAAAGAAGCTTCTTGGATGAGATGCGAGACCTCTTCAAAGAAAAACCAGAAAGTCCAGTTGCCTCTTGAAAAAAAACATCTTTGGGACAACCATGACCTGGAGGACTGAGAATCTCCATAGACATTTGTCAAAACCCTGTTTGCAGGCAGGAATGGACATTTCTATAATAAAGATATAAATAGGGTGGCAGCCATGAAAGCCAGACCGATGTCATGAGCACGGAAACAGCAGAAATACAAATCTTGCTTTGTACGTGCTCGAATTAGACATTTTAATTTTTTTTTACTGTTTTAATACTTTTAACTGCTTTTATAGACCGATTTAGAAGCAATATATCCAGGGGACCTAAGATCTCCACTCCTCAGTAGGGAAAAAAAAAATCCGGGGCCAGGTAAATGATTTAACAGTAATTGTTAAGGAGTTAGAGTATTACTGCTTCATAATTAATTTAAAAAAACAAAAACAAACCAACTTTAAGATTACAGGCTTTGGTTCAAAAGCTAACTCGGTTTGTAACGAAGTGGAGTTTGCCCTAAAAAAAACTTTCTCTGCGGATTTCCGGGTCTCTCTGCTGCCACCTAGTGGCCGCCCAGAGTTTCAAGCGCAGATCCCGTTGCTGAGCTTCCCCTCCCTTCCCACCTAAAGCCCTTCTCCTCTCGGCTCGGGTTGCAAACGGGATGGTGGGGGGGGCGGTTGCTACGGCAACCCCTGCGCCGCATCCAAAGGGCGGGCGGGCGGGCAGGGAGGCAGGCAGGCAATCCATCCCCTCCTTTCCTCCCCCTTAACGGACCCATTCCTCCACATCATCTTGTATAGGTAGCTCTCTAGCTGGCTCTCCCCCACCCACGGTTAGCCACCCACCCACCCACCCACTCGGGCTGGCAGACACTCCCTTACACACACACAAAGCCCAGGCGCGCACCAAGCTCTACAAATTCCAGAGGAAGCCCAGCAGTGAATTGCATTCTCGGTTGCACCGCCTATATAGGGATTGTCTCCCTTTTGCTGGGAAGGAGAGGAAGACCTGCGAGGGGGCGGGTAGCAAAGACCCCTGAGCTGGAAAGAAGGGGCGTCAAGAGGACGCGGGGGTAGGGAGGGGAGGAGACGGCCCAGCAAGCCCTGCTCTTCCTCCTCCTCCTCCTCCTCCTCGGATCAGGGACCAATAAAGCCGCTGCAGAGCAGGGCGTCCGGCAGAGAAAGGGTTAAGCCGGATCCGCTCGGACCGATCCCTTCCCCGGCGAGGCTGCGGGACCGACTGCAGCAAGCAGAAGGACTGGGCGGCCGCCTCCCCCGCAGCCCCAGCTTCAGCCTCCGCTCAGCCCTTCGGATGCTTTCCAAGCCTGCTCTCTTAAGGGCACGAGCCGGAGGTCCCTTTCGCTCTTCTCTCGCCGCGCGGCTGGCTCTCCTTTACGGCCGCCTGGTCTTGAATCCCGGGAGCGCCTCTTAAAAGAGCGGCGATGGCCACCAAGATCGACAAAGAAGCCTGCCGAAGGGCCTACAACCTGGTGAGGGATGACAGCACGGGAGTGAACTGGTAAGGAGCCCAGCCGAGGAGGGGTCGCAGTTTACCGGGGGTGGCGGGGAGCGAAAGGGACGGAGAGCCGGGAAGAGGATCTTATCATTCAGGGTCTTTCAACGGGATTCGCTTTGCTTTTGTGGAAGGGGGTGGGGGTGGGGGGTTTGTTAAGGATGCCTGCCTTCCCGGGGGGGGAGGATAATGGGCATTGGAACCCATAATACTTGTCTTGCCAAGCTAGCACAAAGGGAGGATGATGGGCATTGGGAACCCATGACGCCTGTCTTTCCCCGAGCTAGCAGTAGGGGGAGGATGATGGGCATTGGAACCCATGACGCCTGCCTTCCTGCTCCTGCTGATGTTATCCATTCAGTCAGGTCCAACTCTTGGTCATTCTAAGGGCCAGGTCTTTCCACCTCTTCCAATCTTGCAATGGTTTCTCTGAGTGCCTGTCTTTCCAGGCTAGCACAACAGGGGGAGGATGATGGGCCTTGGAACCCATTGGAAGCCACGCCTATCTTCCCAAGCTAACACAAAAGGGGTTGATGGGCCTTGGAACCCATTGTGAGGTCCTCAGGGGAGGGGTAAGGTTTCTTCTATGTTGGCTAAGCTGGCAGTTGGTTCTCCTCTCTTGCTTGAAGCCCAAACCGTTTTGAGTTGCAAGGAAGGACTTCACCTTATCATTAAGAGTTCTTGCAAAACGCATTTGGTTATGACATCATCTCCCTTTGGGAGCCACCAGGCTCCTTCTTCTAAGCTTCTGGGGCAGGTGGGAACTGGGCCATCTCACTCTGCAAAAACCTGGGTGGGTCTGGCTGGGGAGGTACAAGGCTTCTGAAATCTTAGCGACGAACCATCTGAATAATTTCTTCTTCTTCTTTTCTAATTTCTTCTTCTTCTCCTCCTCCTCCTCCTCCTCCTCCTCCTCCTCCTCCTCCTCCTTCTCCTTCTTCTCCTCTTTCTCCTCCTCCTTCTTTTCTCCTCCTCCTCCATCTTCTTTCTCCTTCTCTTCCTCCCCCTCCCCCTTTATTCTCCTCCTTCTCTTCCTTCCCCCTTTCCCAAAGGGTGACATTTAAGTACGACGGCTCCACCATCATCCCAGGACACAACGGGGCGGATTACGAAGAATTTATACGTCAGTGTACAGGTGAGTCCTTTTTCGCTCTCCTCCACCGACCCACGTTCCTCGTGTTGCCAAGGGGGAAGGAAGGAAAGGCCAAACAGCCTCGAAATGTGCTTTTTTAACACTCCCCAACACCCCCTTTCCTCCCCCCCCCAAAAAAACCTTTGAAAAGCCCTGAACGGTAATGATGTCATCCATCTCCCAGGCCTTTTGTTGGGCGATTCTCAGTCCTCCCTTCAAAGAAAGACGCAGATGGTTCAGGGGTGCTTTCATTCCTTTCATCCAGGGCCCAAATTCTAGCCAGTTGTCCAGGAATTCTTTCTCTTGCTCAGTCTGTCCATGGTGACCTTTGAAACTTGTTTTAATTCACGCCCAAATGCAGGCTTTTCTCCAACACCGGCAATCTCTTGCAAGCCACGTTAAGGAACACGCAAAGGGCTGGCGTTGTGTTATTTTGGCTGGAAGAGGATTCAGTAACAGTAAGAGAGTTGGAAGGGACTTTGAAGGTCATCTAATCTAACCCCCTGGTCATGCAGGAGACCTATACTAAGGGATTCGAACTGCCGACCTTCCTGATCGACAAGCTCAGCATCTTAGTCACTGAGCCATCTAGCCAGGCCATTTCGCTTTAGGCTGGCAGAAATTCTCTCTCTGTCTCTCACGACCCAGCATGTCTGAACACGGACGCACAGCTAAAGGGCCAATGGAGGGCTGCCTACCGATGTTCAAACATTCTTGGGCGCGGACAGAAAAGACAGATCAAGAAAACCAAATCTTCACCAGCACAAAGTAGCATTTATCCACCTTCACCCAAGCAAAAGTCTGGGTTGACATGTTTGTGACGTCACTTCCAAGCGATTGCAAACCTTGTAACCTTCATATTTACTTACTTACTTAACTTCTCTGGTTTCTAGAGTGGCCCATTTTGGCATGAATTAAAGCCAAAGGAAAAAAAAAAAGAAAACCCAATCTTTTGGGGAGAAACTGTGAAAGGGGTTGTTAGAGACATGGATAGAAATAGAATAACAGAGTTGGAAGGGATCTAATCCAGGGGTCAGCAACCTAGTCCAGAGCCGCCTGTGGCTCTTTCACCCCTCTGCTGTGGCTCCCTGTCACTCAAAATATGTGTCACAACCGCCAATGTGCAACACCCGCTGGCACACAATTTATTGAGCCTTTCAACCCCCGGTAGGCCAACCATGGATAAATCCAAGAAAAGAAAAGTTTCAGAAGAAAACAGAACATTTAATTCAACTACCTATGCTAGTTTTGTGGCTGCTCAAGAAATAGTCAGGCACGGGAAGGGTTTTGTGGCTCCCGGTGTTTTCTTTTCTGTGGGAAAGGGGTCCAAATGGCTCTTTGAGTGTTTAAGGTTGCAGACCCCTGTTCTAGTCCAACCTCCTGCCTAGGCAGGAAACCCTACACCACTTCAGACAAATGGTTATCCAACCTCTTCTTAAAAACTTCCACTGTTGGAGCATTTGCAACTTCTGGAGGCAAGTTGTTCCACGGGTTAATTGTTCTCACTGTCAAGAAATTTCTCCTTAGTCATAGAGCCGTCTGAACAGGTTGTTCATGGACACCTCTGAGCCCAAAGTCTATAGCAGGGTTTCTCAACCTTGACCATGTTAAGGTGTATGGACTTCTAATTCCCAGAATTCCCCAGCCAGCCATGAGTTAAAGCAAAGAAGAAGGTGTGTGTGGGAGGCGGGGGGGGGGGGGAGAAACCATTTGGGCTTTCAGGAGAAATCGTGAAAGGGGCTGTTAGAGAGATGGCTGTCATAAATGCATATTTATTTATTTATTTATTTATTTATTTATTTATTCATTCATTCATTCATTCATTCATTCATTCATTCATTCATTCATTTAGAATAGCCTTCATACTTTTGTATATACCTGCTTAGTAGGGCTTTCAGCCCCCCCCCCCAAGCGGTGTTGTTTTTTATACAAAGTTGGCTTATTGCCCCCACAAACCGGGTCCTCATTTTACCTACCTCGAAAGGATGGAAGGCTGAGTCAACCTTGAGCCTGGTGAGATTCAAACTTGCAGTAATTGCAGGTAGCTGGTGTTACTTAACAGTGCTTTAGTCTGCTGCGCCACCAAGGCTCTTGAATGGGTTGTTCTTTTTTTTTTTTTTTGTAAATAAATTTCAAAGCCTCCACTCCCTCCTTTCTTTTCTTCCGTCCTGCTTTCTTTTGCTTTCAGCTCACAGAAGAAAGCTTGCAGCAGGAAACATCATGAAACAGTTCATGTCTTGGCTTTTCATCTTCTGTGCCTGCCACCCTGTGTTCTCCTCTTTCATGTTTTACTTTTAAAGGGCCAGCCTGGAAACCGAGGCAAAGTACGGGCGGGTGGGTGGATGGGTGGGGGAGGGAGGGAGGGAGGAAGAGGAGTCCTTATGGTAATGATTGTGGTTGAGGTTCTCTGTTGACAAGCCATTCCTGTCTGTCTGCAAATCATTTCTCCCCCCCTCCCTTTTGCGTTTTGCCTTTGCAAAGAAAAATAAAAAATAAATCAATTTCTTCGGGCTGCAGGACAGATGCCATCTTGTTAGCTTTTTTTCCTTCTGCTGCTGCCCCTGCTGCTTCCAATTTCCAGTTTGCTTGGGATTCTGATTTAATTTTGCACGAAGGAAAGTTCCTGGGTTTTTTTTATTTTTATTTTTATTTTTGGGGGGGCCTCTCTCTGGCGATCCTAGTTGTTTCCCTGAATACACACATGCATACAAATCATGCCTGGCGCATCTCTTCTTCTATGTACTTCCTTTTTTTCAGCTTTTGGCTTAAGTTCTTTTATGTTTGAGGCAGGGGTGAAACCCCGCCATCGCTACCGATTCTCCAAACCACCTGCCACAATCGCTACCGGATCACCCGATCCGGTCTGAACCGGGAGGATTTCACTCCTGATTTGAGGATGTTCTAGAGCCGAGTTTCTCAAACTTGGCCATGTTAAGATGGGTGAACTTCAACTCTCAGAATGCTGGCTGGAGAATTCTGGGAGTTGGAGTCCACATACCTTAACATGGTCAAGGTTGAGAAATCCCGCTGTAGACTTTGAGTCAGAGGTATCCAGAGGAAACGGTTAAAAGAAGTAAAAATGCTGGCCATGACCATATAATCAAAACTCTGCTCCTTTTTTTTTACCTGCATTGTGACGTAATGGTGTGCAAAGCCCCAGATGTTCATGACAAGTCTTTAAAAAATAAGTAGCAGCAACAGACAAAACCACCAATCTTAGAGACCACCAAGAACCCCACAATTCAACCCCGAGCTACAAATATTCTCTACTATAAGTAGCAGAATGGCAGATGGGATATAATCCTCAGCCACCAGAAAACTCATAGGAGTTTTCTTACCAGTGAAGATTTGTTTTGGATGCAGCTGGGTGAAAGCAGGAGGAGAACAACAATGGAAATTAGGTTATTTATTTGCCAACCTGGTGACCAATTTGGTAGGTTGAATTTTTGCTTCGTCAGCCATCCCAGTTCATTCCTTTATGTATATTTATTTCTCAAGATGACATTCGGTTGTTTGGCTTCATCCGGTTCACCACTGGAGACACCATGAGCAAGCGAGTCAAGTTTGCCCTGATCACCTGGATAGGGGAGAACGTCAGTGGCCTTCAGAGAGCTAAAACAGGGACCGATAAGACCCTCGTGAAAGAAGTTGTACAGGTAAGTGGAGGTGTTCAAGTCAATATTTCTGGTCCCAGCAAGAAGGTAATTTTTTTTTTTTTTTTTGGTGAAGCTGTTCAGGAAGACAGGAGAAATGAAGGGTTGTTGTTGCTCTCTGAGCTTGCTTGTTTTCTTGCAGACATTCCATTACCCAACTAGGTAACGTCATCAGTGCTGGAAGAGAGTGGAATTTGCAAGGAGGAGGAGGAGGAGAAGGAGAGAAAGGAGGAGGAGAAGGACTGCGGAGTCCTTGGTATTCTCTGAGATGGGTGGTTTTCTTGCAAACGTTTCATTACCAAACTAAGTAACATCATCAGTGCTAGAAGGGAGTGGGGTTTGCTCTCAGCTTATAGCAAACCCCACTCCTTTCTAGCACTAATGATGTTACCTAGTTTGGTAATTAAACGTTTGCAAGAAAACCACCAAGCTCAGAAAACACCAAGGACTCCTCATTTCAACCCTGAGCTACAAATACTTTCCTTTACTGAGACAGGAGAAAGTGTTAATATGAGACATCCTTGGTTACACCTTGAGATTTGATTTCTAAGATCCTCTTTTTTATGCGGAACAAGGCACTTCGTTCGAGCACCCTCAATTACATATTATGGGTCTACTAGTTGGGAGCCAGAGTCCATAAACTGAGAAGATGCCAAGTTTCCTAACCTTGGACTTACATCCGAAGTAAAGCAGTCATCATCTTCTAGAAGTGTTGGACTTCAATTTCCATTAGCCCAGCTGTTGTAACCTGTTAACAAGGGGTTGTAGCAGTTGCAATCAAAAGAATTTGACTGAATGCATTTGATCTACACCAGTGATTCTGAACTGCTTTGCGTTCTTGTCCTTCCGTTGAAATGAGGAAGCCAACATCTAAAGGAAAATGCCCTCCAAGACATTAAAATGGCTAATTTAGATGTTCTGATGCTTCTGTGACGGTAAGGTTGAAAGAAGCTCTGAAGGACGCATGGCTACTACACTACAAATAATCTTCAGTTTCTTTGTTCCACCCAAGAGGCTGAATCAAACGTTCGCAGAGATGTTTGTTGTGGTTCTCCTTGGACTCCGCCTTTTGTGTTGTGTTTAGCCATTCAGGTTGTCAAGGCCCACCCCCCCCACCCACCCACCCCCAGCTTCCTGGCCCCAAACAAATGGATGTATTTGTTTGTGGGGCTCATGAGCTCTAGAAGGAACACAGAGATGGTCATTCATCCCCAGGCCATCCCCAAGGTCAAAATGGGATGGCAAAATCGAGTGGGGGAGACTGAAAAGTCCTTGTTTGTCTTAGGGATGGAAATTTAAGAGGATCCAGAAAAACGGTTTCAGCGGGAAACAGACAGAAAGGACGCTCGCTCGTGTATTTCAAGAGGCTCGTCAGCTTTAAGAAGCACTCAAAATCTGTGAGCTATTGTACTGACCACACCTGCTCCATTTCCTGGCTGGAAAAAGAGAGGAGAAGTTTCCCAAACTTGGGACCTTCTACCTGTGTTGAATTACAGGGGTTTTTCCAACAATGACCGGTCACTGTTCAAAGCTCTGATGGACTTACCTGGATGTACTTATGACCCAGATTTAAAGTTATGGTGGTCACCACTCCCCCCCCCCAGTCCCATAACTGCACTTCAAGTGGTCGGCAATACCCTGTTATTTTACAATGGTTTTGCTGAAAACTGGCATTGATATCTTGTGAAGGAATTCGCAGAGCAACCCTAGAGTAGCAAGGGTGTGCACATGAAAGCGACTGAGAGTAGTTGCGAATAAATACAACCAACACAGAGATACACTGAGTTGTGTTTACTTTTAGGAAATAGTAATAAGGCACAGTCCAATAAACAGTCCAGGTCATACACAGATAAAGCAGTAGATAGTAAAACAATAGTCCAGGGATATTCCAATAACAAAGTCTTCTTACCAGTCGTCGTAGTCATACACAATAAACAGTTGCAAACAGTAGCAAACACAGCAAAGAGCAATAATGATCAACAAAGAGCAATAATGGTCAGCAAAGAGAAACAAACCATGTTTCAACCTCCCTCTTAAGGAGATTGGCTACAGAGCTAACCAATCAGGACACAGTATGATGCAACACAGCAGTCCTAAAGCTATACTGAGGGTTTATATATTGCCAACCCAACAAGTTATCATTTCCTAACACGTCTGATTTTGGGCAAAACCATGCCCCTGGTGTGAAGCGTTAGTTCGCTTAACAACCATGTTCCTCCCTTTAACAACTGCCACAAAGAAAATAGTAAAATCAGGTTGGTTGTGCAATCGTTTACAACTGTCGTGAGTTACGACCGTGATGGGCAGGCTCCATTACAGTCACAATTTGAGGCCTTATCGGCACAGCTCTTATCATGGACATGGCTGACGCTGGAAGTTCAAATCCAAGACCTCTGAAGGACCTCATATATGCTAACATTTTGGGAAGTAACTTTTTTTCTATGTTTTCTCATACCTCTCTGCCGCTCTCTCGATTACGATGTGATTACTGCTTGGTTAGGTCCATGCAGTAACGGTTTCAGATGAATGTTAGAATGGGGAGGCATTACTGCAGGGGTGAAATCCAGGAGGTTCCTACAGGTTCTGGAGAACCAGTAGCGGAAATTTTGAGCAGTTCGGAGAACCGGCAAATGCCACCTCTGGCTGGCCCCAGAGTGGGGTGGGAATGGAGATTTTGCAATATCCTTCCCCCAGGAGTGGGGCAGGAATGGGGATTTTGCAATATCCTTCCCCTGCCACGCCCACCAAGCCACACCACACCCACCAAGCCACGCCCACAGAACCAGTAGTAAAAAAATTTGGATTTCACCACTGCATTATTGGCAGTGGAAAACTACCCAAAAGTCGTGAAAGAGTTTCTCTGGGAGCATTGTTTTTGGAAATCTTTCCATTCCTGTTTCAAAACCTGGCTAGGTGGCTCAGTGGCTAAGATGCTCAGCTTGTCGATCAGAAAGGTCGGCAGTTCGGCGGTCCGAATCCCTAGTGTAGGTCTCCTGCGTGAGCAGGGGGTTGGACTAGATGACCTCCAAGGTCCCTTCCAACTCTGTTACTGTTATAAAAGTGCCCAGGCCATCATCTTATTCAGCCCTACATCCTAGTGATGAGGACATTTACCTTATCCGATTCCCATCCTTCGCTAAACAAACATTACATTTTTATTTATTTATTTTTGTCTCCTGCAGAATTTCGCCAAAGAGTTTGTGATCAGCGATCACAAGGAACTGGATGAAGATTACATCAAGGGTGAATTGAAGAAAGCTGGAGGGGCGAATTATGACGCTCAGGCAGAATAAACCCGGAAGAGGAACACACCGTGCCTCCTGCAGCCACCTGAATAGATGTGCCACCCAAGGAGGCGGGAAAGCACAATTTATCTGTGAAAACAAAACTGGAAGATAATTTGAGGCAAGTGTGAGAACGAAGCTGCTTCATTTAAGGCTCCTCGGAAGCCTGTTCCTATCTCCAGAAGTGGACCTCAGTTTTTTTCTCCCCCATTTCATCCACCAAACCAGCTCCTTTTCGTGTTTTTTTTCCTTTCTCTCTCTCTCTAAGTTCTTCCTTTAACCGCTGTCTTTCTCATTTTAACAAATATTATGTAGGTACCTGGCTCCATAGGAAATTGGCCATTAAGTCACGGTGTTGGCTGAAGGCTTCTTGAGAGCTTTAGATCTTTCCATGAAGTTCGGTCAGTCTAGATAGAACAGAGGTCTTCAAACTTGGCAGCTTTAAGACTTGTGGACGTCAACTCCCAGAATTCTCCAGCCAGCATAGCAATGCTGGCTGGAGAATTCTGGAAGTTGACGTCCACAAGTCTTAAAGCTGCCAAGTTTGAAGACCTCTGGTCTAGAAAGTCTCCAAGGATGAACCACGAATTCATTCTTGACAGCTGTCTTCCCTCACTGACCAACAAAAGGGCTTACAACGTGCACAATGAGTTACGCCGCCCACGAATCACATGCTTTCTTCTGAAAGTCATCTCTGGTGGGTTTGGATGAGATTTGCAATCTTCTCCACGCCACTGGAGGGTTTTTACTTCTAGGTGGTTTAAAAAAAAGAGAAAAAAAAGCACAAAATTGCTGTTTCCCCTCGCCCCCAAATAATAATAGTAGCCAAAGGGCTGTGACCTGAGACCTCCCCAAGGCTAAACACAGCTCTCTAAAGTTACTACAGGGTCAAGACTGTTAACGGGGTAGAAGGAAGAAGGTGAAATACAGGGTGAATTATGAGACGGGTGGTATTTGATTCACTGAAATGAAATCCTATTTAAATCGGGCCAGCCTCTTTGGCCAGGCACCAGTTAGTAGTAGAAGGGTGAGCACTGATCTACTATTCAAAACCAGATGTGGGCCTTGATTGAAACAAGTCATGCATTTGCGGGACATAAAAGTTCCTTTATTCCACATAAGCAAACTTATTTACTCAGAGCTCTGTTTCCAGAAGGTTTGGTTCTTCAGTTAGGTATGTGCCAGATTGTGGGGTGTTGTTTTTTTTGTTTTTTGTTTTTACCATTGTGCTTAAAAATAATTTCCGTATGCCCAATGGAACTTTGTCACAAAAAGCTGTGCGGAGCGTTGCAGCCTCCAGTTACAATTGTGTGTACATTTCCCTAGGAGTAAGAAGTGTTGCACACACAATGAATTTCTAAACATGCGTGTGTGGGTGGAAGGTTGGAGGGGATTTGGGGTGAGTAGTGAATGTGTTTGTTTGCAGCCCCTGCAAATCCACGCATGCTGACGTCACTAAAGGTCAAAGAGAAGCTGAAATATTTGGCATTAAACAGCCATCGAGGGGAAACATAATCTTCTATTTCGGTTTTTTTATGGAATACAAAGGAATATAATTTGCCTTAAAGGAACAGCTTGGTTTTGCATCATATGATCTTTCTCTTTCTTTCTTTCTTTCTTTTCTTTCTTTCTTTCTTTCTTTCTTTCTTTCTTTCTTTCTTTCTTTCTTTCTTTCTTTCTTTTTCTTTCTTTCTTTCCCTCCCTCCCTCCTTTCTCTTTCTTTCTCTTTCTTTTTCTTTTTTTCTTTTTCTTTGTTTTGAAAACGTTGCTGTAAAGACCAGTAAATAAGGGAGAAAACAAAAGGTCTCCTTTTCTGATTGTACTGTTTTGTACCGTCATTGTTCTTTTTTTATTATTATTATTGTTGTTATTATTTCTGCCTTTGTACCCTGAATGTGTAAGATGATTGCTGGTGAGACTTGTAAAACAATTATATAGCAGACCTGGATTGCATCCTTGTGAAATGTTAATGCTGTTTGCTTCGACGGGGAATTGGAATGGGAATTGTGTGGGAACTCCTCTATTCTTTCATTGGCGGTTAAGAATATTGGATTGTCAAATCATGGACTGTGTGCCCACCTTACATTTTGGTTGGGGGGGTGGGGGCAAGAGATGGGTCCAGTCTGAAGAACATCAAGTCTAAAGAAAAGACAACTTACGGGAAATCTCAGCCATCTTCAGGAACATAGAGGGAAGCTACAAGGAAAATGACCAATAAATATTTATAGGCCAACAGAAAGTAGGGCTAGAAATGACCAATATCTTAGAAAAATTTCCTGAAAGGCTTCCATCAGAGTCTCCTACAGAAGTTGTGGATTCTGAAAACTTTTAAGAAGCTGGACAGCGACTTCTTGACGATCGTCTGATTAACAGAGTTGGAAGGGACCTGGGAGGTCTTCTAGTCCAACCCCCTGCTCAAGGAGGAGACCCTATACCAGTGTTTTTCAACCTTGGTAGCTTGAAGATGGGTGGACTTCAACTCCAGAATGGGAGTTGAAGTCCACCCATCTTCAAGCTACCAAGGTTGAGAAACACTGCCCTAGACCATTTCAGACAAGTGGCTATCCACTCTTTTCTTGAAAACCTCCAGTGTTGGAGCGCCCACAAATTCTGAAGGCAACTTCTGTTCCATTGACTAATTGTTCCCACGGCCGGGAAGTTTCTCCTTAGTTCTAGGTTGCTTCTCGCCTTGATTAGTTAATCTTCCTGCATATTGGAGAGAACTGTGTTAGATGTTCCTTATGGTCTCTTCCATCTCCACAGTTACATGATCTTAGATTGCATCCTTTTTTTTTCTAGATGCAATGACCTTTCGAAATGAGCCAAGAGGATGCCAAGAGATTCAGCGGCTGAATCTCTTCCCTACTGCATAGGACATTGTGTACTGGGGGGTGAGAGGGGGCATACTGGGGAAACAGGTAGAAACTTTGCATGCAGGTCTGTCCAGAGCCCGGCTCCTATGTTCTTCCTAACCCTTTTTTGCCTCAGGAGAGCAAGCATTCAGATGAATAACACATTATGTGTCCAGGGACGAGGAAGTATATGACCATTAGACCCTGTTCTGTCCCCGTACCACACACGCACCCCCACAGACGGCCCGGAGTTAATAAGCCACACGACAAAACTCTTTGAAGATAAAGCTGGCAGCAACCCAGTGGCTAGCTGCCAATTCAGATTTTACTCACACAAAACGAAGATTAGACTGCAAGCATTCTGATAAAACAGGCAGAGTTTCAACAATACAAGGATTAATCCAAATGCAGTCCGATAAAGAAGGCAAAGTCCAGTAACACAGAGATCATGGATTATTTCCAGTTTTTGCTCGTCACAAACTGAACCGGCCACCACACCCACATTTATACCCTGTGGGGTGTGGTCCAGTGACTCAGCTAATCTCTGGCACGCCTTCCCCTCTGCTGCGCACGCTTCTCCCTGCGCTTCTGCCAAGGGTCCAGCCAGCACTTATCTTCTTCGTCGCTGTCCACCTATGGCTGCGGGGACGTGCTTGGCTCTGAGCCTATCTTTTGGCCTTCGGTGTCCTCCGGAGGCATTGCCAGAGAGGAGGATCCTGGAGAGGGAGGCCTTGCCAACTCCTCTCCCTCACTCTCAGAGTCTACATCTGTCGATAGCCCAGGCTCAGGCAACGGAGTCACAACAGACCCTTGGAGGGTCTGCTAAGAAAGGGAAGGTATTTTGACCCATGTCTCTGATGATAGGGCCAGTGGGGTGGCTCAGCAGTTAGAAAGCTGGACTTGTTGGCTAGAAAGTGGGCAGCCTGAGTTCGAAACCCGAGCACTTACACGATGGGGTGAGCTCCTGTCCTCATCCCAGCTCCTGCCCACCTAGCAGTTTCGAAAGGATGCAAATGCGAGTAGATAAATAGGTACCACTTTGGTGGGAAGATAACAGGGCTCTGTGAATCCTGCTGGCCACATGACCGCAGAAGTGTCTTCAGACAGCGCTGGGTTCAATGGCCTTGAATCGGACATGAGCACTGCCCCTTAAAGTTGGCAACGACTAGCGGAGTAAAAATACACAGGGACTCATCTATGGAGATTCTCAGTCATCCAGGTCATGGTTGTCCCGAAGATGCTTTTTCAAGAGGCAACTGGACTTTCTGGTTTTTCTTTGAAGACGTTTCGCTTCTCATCCAAGAAGCTTCTTCAGTGTGTGTTTGTGTGTGTGGGATACATACATCTACCGATAAAAGAGTCTATGGAGATTCTCAATCATCCAGGTTAGGGTTGTCCCGAAGGTGTTTTTTTCAAGACTTTCTTGGTGGTTCTTTGAAGACGTTTAGCTGAAGGAGCTTCTTGGATCAGAAGTGAAACATCTTCAAAGAAAAACCAGAAAGTCCAGTTGCTTCTTGCAAAAGCACCTTTGGGGTACACAAGGACTCCTTTATCCATGATGATTATCATGGGGATGAGAAGGGTGGTAGGGCAGCAGTCCCCTTCCCCATCTCTGCAGCCCCACAGCCATCCTGTGATTCTAGGGCTTTCAGCTCAAGATGCTTTCTAACCGAGCATACGAAATTGTGCTCATTGACCTACATCTATTTCCCACACGCTCGCGATCTGAAAAGCACATTAGTGTGTTGTTATAGTGACAAAACCAGCTGCAGTTCCTGGAACCCTACGGAGGTGTCCTTAATCTTGCCTTCGTTGAGGATTTCTTGGTTGTTCTCAGCCTATTAACTGAGGCTTAGGCGTATATCTGAGTGACTTTGAGCCAGGCGGCAACTCATGGCTCGCCCACTTAATCCAAGTCAACAGAGATGGCAGTTTCCTTCCGGGAGAAAAACGATGAAAGCAAATTCCCACCACGAACGAATCCTTAGCACAGCTAGTCCTCGACTTACAACAGTTCGTGTACTCACCGTTCAAAGTTACAACAGTTCTGAGAAAAGTGACTTACGTTACGACAGTTTTTCACACCTGCGACCGTTGTAGTATCCCCATAAAGTCAGATACTTGGCAACTGACTCATGACGGTTAAAGCATCCCCGTGGTCAGGTGATCAAAATTCAGACGCTTGGCAAGTGATTCATATTTATGACGGTGGCAGCATCCCGGGGTCCGTAATCCCCTTTTGCAACTTTCTGACGAGCCAAGTCCATGTGGAAGCCAGATTCACAACTGTGTGACTAACTTCACACTTAAGAACTATGGCAAGGAAGGTCTTAAAACTCAACTCAACAGTTGTCTCACTTAATAACCGAAGTGTTAGGCTTAGTTATGGTCGTAAGGTGAGGACTACCCTGTATAAACCAAACTGTCGCCTCTTTCTGTTTATGGGAAGGTTTTATGCGTAGCTTTTGGGGAACCTGAACAAGCCTTGCAAATCCATTGCATCTGGGAGGTGATATTTGGGCTGCAAGAATCCAGATGTTTACTAGAAGACAACGATGAGAGACACAACATTCACTGGAAAGGCTTCGAGGAGATTGCAAAGTACCATGATTAAAATCAGATTTTTTTTTTCTTTCTTTCCGTCCTCCCCCTCCCAAGGACATTGTTATCAGGCTCCTTGACAACAGTTGTCATAGCAATCCAGTTTTTTTTTTCTCCACCTCCAAGATGTATTTGTCCCCACAGTCATGGAATGAACCTCAAATCGGGTCATTGGGGGAGAAAGAAAGCAAAATTAAAGTCTTCTCCAAGTCAAAGCCAACTGCCCCCGACTCCAGGGTGAAACCCATTAGTCATTTACAATTTTCAGTGTTTTCTTTCTAACTTCCCATCCAAGAACAGACCAAATAACAATAACAGTTGGAAGGGACCTTGGAGGTCCTCTAGTCCAACCCCCTTCTCAAGCAGAAGTCCTATGGAAGGGATCTTGGAGGTCTTCTAGTCCAACCCCTTGCTCAAGCAGAAGTCCTATGGAAGGGATCTTGGAGGTCTTCTAGTCCAACCCCCTTCTCAAGCAGAGGTCCCATGGAAGGGACCTTGGAGGTCTTCTAGTCCAACCCCTTGCTCAAGCAGAAGTCCTATGGAAGGGATCTTGGAGGTCTTCTAGTCCAACCCCCTTCTCAAGGCAGAGGTCCCATGGAAGGGACCTTGGAGGTCTTCTAGTCCAACCCCCTGCTCAAGCAGGACTCAAGCAGGAATCATTCCGGACAAATGATTGTCCAGTCTGTTCTTTAAAACTTCCAGTGTTGGAGCACCCACAACTAATACATGTAATAATAATAATAATAATAATAATAATAACAACAACAACAACAACAACAACAACAACAACAACAACTTCTTCCTTGTTGAGACAAGTTGTTCCACTGATTAATTGTTCTCCCTGTCAGGAAATTTCTCCTTATTAGGAGTTTGCTTAGTTTTTAATCAAGATATACCATGTTCGGGCTAATCACTGCCTCTTAACGATCTCACTTCATCATAAACCACGTTAGGAACCAGATGTCATAATTAATAGTTGAATTTTACTTCATTGAGTTAGGCTACAGTAACAGAATCTCGACAACAGCTTGATAAATACTGCTCCTTTCTTGCCTCTTATACCAAAGAGACTCAAAGGGGATTGTCTCTGAGTTTCTTTCTCACCCTTTCCTGTTTTCCTAGGGCTAAGTTCATGTTTTCCCAACAGCTTCCATCTATTTTCTTCAAGGCCGGCTCTGTGTGGAGGTACATATTTTCTCACCAAGAGAGAAAGAGAGGAAAAATAGGCTGGGAAGATTTATGAATGGGGTAATAATGATCTATAAATGAGGTCTCTTCTCGAAGTAGATTTAAAGCTGGTTCAGTTCATGGGCTTGAAGAGATTGTCTCCCCAAAAAATCCAGCCATATTCTGAATTCATGAGTGGGGAAGGCTAAAACTCTTGCTCTGGGGAATCTGTAAAATGTGACTTCCCACCAAAGGGCCTCTTGAACTGCTGAAACAATCAGAATTTCCTGTAGAGTCATCCTCCTGACTATCCAGCTGTCTGGGTAGAGTATT